CGACGGCTAATAAGCCAGAAATGGCCATCTTAGTCTCCCTTGTCTTTGTCGGTAATGTCTTTCTGCCCATATAACTAGCCGCCTTGCGGCGGGACTCGAGGGAGCGCCCCAAAGGCACTAAAGGTGGAGGAGTGTTTCCTGTAACTGATCGGTGTGCGGCTATCCGTCACCAGGTATATATATTTCTCCTACTCTTTTGCTACCCGTCTTTAGCTGAAGAAAGAGGTGAAACGTGCTAGCTTTGATGCGGCCAATCTCCATACACCAAAGGACTGACAGGCTCGGGCAGTAAGACCGATACTGGTCAATTCAATCCCACGTAAATGAGCATATTCTTCACTGAAATATAAACCATCTGACGCGTTTTCCCCTATCATGACGTGCTAGCAGTCGTGACTCGAAAGGGTGTCAACTGGCGGCAGAATTTGCTTCCTCTCACGACTGAGAGGTAGGCTACAATGAATCCTTACTCATAATTCGGCCTTTATGGCACCCTCTCTCGCAGGTAAAATCTGAGTCGTCCGTGTGGACTCACTCCTGGTCTTCGCCTCATTTTAGCGACTCTAATCAAAAAAGTCGCGAGAAATACATGACTCTCTGGTCGCACCGAAAAGTGCTTTTAGAAGATAAATGGGAGCGACGGCGGCGATGATGGTTTTAGTAATGATACAGCAGAACCCACTCTTTCCACACATAAATTTCAGTGTTCTGTTCACCGAAGAGGGTTTTTGCTCCATATCCGTCTCTTTTTTTCTTGTTTCTGCCCTTAGGTCCACAAAGATATTTCGAGGAATTTGGTACTTCCCTGTGCTTCCAACCCTGCAGTGAAGAAGAGCTTGAAAACATGAAGCAAGAGGAAGAAGCTGTATCCGAAGCAGTAACAAATAAGACTAGGGAATCTCCGGTTCCAGAGCACTCCGCGGCTTCAGACAACCACGATTCTGCGAAACGTGGAAAGAAGGATAAGCCGACCACACTCCCTGATTCAGTAAGTTTGACTTGAACGTAGCACACGCAACTTTCTGAGTTGACCCACTTCACGCAAGAGAACAGTGGAAGAGAGCATTGGCGGTCAGGGTTCACTGTACCCAGCGGCGCCTTGGTTCAGCCCCTTATCTGCCATGTTAACTTTTCGAATTTGAAAAAGTCACAATTCGAGGATAAGAATAAGAGTTCAT